GGGAGGACTCGTAAAAATTTTGGAAAAAACGGAGGGAAAAAAAATTCACGCGCCTTTCGGAAAAGGCCCCGCTAGAGGGTACGGTACCGGGCCCAGATTCGGGGCCCGAACGGGCCCCACCGTAAACACCGACCCGGTCGCAGTTATTCCACTTATTTGTTAATTGCGGGACCTCTAAAGGACGTCGTACGGATCGTAAACGGTTGTTTGTTGGGACCGTTGTCGTGGAAAAAACCATCCGGGCCCGTTCCCTGAGAAAACCGGCCCTAAATTTTGGCAAACTTCCCTTGCCCCTCGGTCCCAAAACCTCGAAAACCCAAAATGTTGCGCGGGCCGTCCTATTTCTTCACCATTGATCGAAAACGACCGTACATTGAATTTGATGAAGCCTAGCGAGAAATCCAGACCGCTCGTAGGTCCCAAAAAAATGGAATTCGCAAGGGCCCATTTTCCAAGCTATCGAACGTCCCGGAAATCCTCGCTGGATCGACCTACTTATCGTCCTAAAAAATGAATATGAAAGAGGGAGAAAAAAAATTCGAGTAGGTGCAGCTGGCCCCGTTTCTTGGCGCGGGGCCCAAATTTACGTAGGAGGGGGGAAGCTTTCCTCTTTCCCTTTTTTTCCCTTGACATTCACATACCGGCCGCGATGAAAACCTCTAATTTCGCGCATAATGGGCGGCCTTTTATCGTGAAGAGGGTAAAGAACTGCAGTAGATGCTGCGGGGGGTGCCGTTCGCTGCACCAGATCTCGAATATCGAGAGGGAGGTTTTTTCCTCCCTTTTTTTTCCGGAAAATCTCGAGGATCGAAATCGCCCTAACGGTGCTCTTCAGGTGGGCCCAAGGTAACGTCTAAGGCCCACCCGGGAACCACCCTTACGTTCATATTTCACCCCCCATTGTACTTGTCGAGGGAAGGAGAGAAAAAAAAAAGTTTCTATCCGGTGCATTTTTGGAAACGGGTCCCGTTTTCGAAATATAGGTCAGAATCCCAAGACGGTCCTGGACAGATCGTCGACCTCACCTGCCCCGAATCACCCCCCATGAAACCTCCCTCAAGCTTCTAAAAAATTGCATTCCATAAATTCACCCGAGTGATTACCTAAAGATAAGTTAATATTTTTAATAATAAATCTTGGGATCCAGATTTGGTCCGCTCATCTTGAAGGTGACCAATCGGCAGCTGCCCACGCAAGGTAGTCTTCAGGTTATGGGGTCAGGAGGTTGATGGGGGTCCATGGAAAGTGCTGCACCCTGAATAAATACGCCACCTTCCGGTGGGCCTTAATGACTCCATTACGATGCAAATTGTCGTAATGACGTTCGCCGATATTTACGATATTTATGATTTACGCTTGTAAAAAGGAATCCCCGTAGGCGAAAAACCGCCTTAATAATCGCGTTAATAAATTTCCCTTGGGAATCACCGAGGAACAATGGACGTTTCAATTATTCGGGACTTCTCCGACTGTGGTCAGTTATTCATAATTTTCCAAATAAGAGATAGGGGGACCGTTTTGTAGGTTGTGATGTCTGAAGAGATGGCTTCGACAACCCTTCAAATTAGTGACGGATTACCATCCACGTGGCTCCCCTCGTTTCCGTAATGGGGTGGTAAAAAAATCGAGCTTGCCACCTGTAACCCCGGCCAGGTACGCGACAGGGATCAAAGGGGTCATAAATGGGAGGAGGTCAACCCCTTAAATAAAATGTTATGCACACTCAGGGCGGAGCGTGCCCATTTCCATACAAAGTTACCCCTGCGTCGACAGGTTCACCCCATAGGCGCCTGAGAAGGGTTGAGACTAGGCCACCTGCAGGTAATGGAGTCGGGTCATGCAAATACCTGAGTGCCGATGAATAAAAAAGGGTTCCGGGCCCGAAAGGGGTTGTATTCAGATGAGGGTCCCTGACTCGGTACCCTAATGGCCATTTAGGGTGGCACGCGCCAGAGTTCCGCGACAAGTGCACCTCCTCGTACCTGCGACCCTTCCAAGGACCACCTCAGGGTACAAATCACATGTAAAAACAAATTTCCACCCTTTCCCACAAGTGCAAATTAACATTTCCAAAGCTTTTGGAAAATTCACCGAAAAACATAGAAAAAAAAAAAAATGGAGTGCAGGAGGCGCGATCCAGGTACCCCCCAGTTGATTGCAAATTAACGCGCGCTTCAAGTTGGGTCATTTTGGATAGTAATTTCTGGGGAAAAAAAATCGGGAAAAATTACCCCTTTCTCGAAATACCCCCGAAATGCCTCGGGGGTGGTCTCCCTCCCTCGGGGGCATTATTCGCGCCTCTCGCGCGACTTCGCCGGCAGCTCCGTCGGCGTCGTTAAAATCAATACGCGAGCCGCTCTTTCTCTCCTCTTCGGGGTTGAAGGCCGCGGGGGTGGGGGCTCGCCCAACCTCGCTGTTGGGGTGAAAGTGGGGTTTTTGGCGCGATAGGGGCGACAAAGGGGAAAGTTAGGGGTGGAAGGGTGAGCGCCTTCGCTTCCCCTTAGCGCGGCGGGGGCAGACGTGGAGGAGATAGGGCGCAGGGGGTGACAGGGCGGAGTAGGGGGTGCCTCGCTATGGCCAATAAGAGCCACTTTAAAGCGAATTCCTTACATCGATGCAGTGCGCATGTCGGATTCAAATCCGAGGACCTGAGGAATAGGTTAGGTCTCCAGGGTGGAGGTGACATCCCCCCTGTTATCCCTATCGGAGATGCAAAAACTCCTCGGTACCCATCACACATGCACTTACCACCCTAACCTGACCACAAAATCATAAACCCACACATATGCATAAATAACTACGCCCCCCACACACTAAAACCATACATGAAAATCGCTTTTACCAGCATTACCGCAAAGTTAATCAATTTTTGGAAAATCTGAAACGTACAGTTTGTGGTATTTGATCTGTAGGGTGTTTTGCATGGGGGGGATTTTTTTAGGGTGCTCAGGTGGCGCTTAGGTCACCCTGGGTAAACGCGTGAGGGCTGCACAGGGGAAGGCGAGAGGTTCCGGGGTGGCGGGAGGGGTGTGGGTGGAGATAAGTGTGCGTATGACCAATGAGAGGTCGGTTTAAAGCCGAGTATTTTATGCCTTCACTGCGCATGCCGGATTCAAATGTGGAGGGGTGAGATCGCCCGGGTGGCGAGGGGTGGCTATATGGAAATATGATAGCGCATAAGGGGTGGGGCACCTGCCGGGCCGCGAGATATGGCCGCTCGCGTATAAATGTCTTCTGCGCCCCTTACGTCCCACCATTCCACCTGCAAGGGGTGGAGCACCCTCGGGGGTGTCGTTCCACCCCCTGGACGTCTGTCTTCGGTGTTGCAAAATTCCTAAAAATTAATTCCAAGTCGTTTTCAGTGATTTCCAAGATGCTGGGAAGGACATTTTCCTGCACCTGTATCTAGACTCGGTATGCTGATTTTATTTTTACTTTTTTTCACTTTTTCCACTTCTTTTATCCTGCCGACACCTTGATGAGACGTCCATCCGTTGCCGACGGACTCGACAAGGATGCCGAAGAGGGTCAACTTGGAATAGTTGGAACGGAGATCCCTCGCCGATGTTTCCCTAATTCCAGGATCGGGATCCTGAACGTTATCAGCCGTATCTCGCCCTATCTTGCCCTGTACCGTCGTGGGTCTCTCCCTATCGAGACTCGCCTCTGATCTCTGATCCTCTCTCTGACGATTGCGACCCCTGCTTATCCTAGAAGTAATTAGTTCTGCCCCCAAAAGTGACCGCGGTCACGGAAGAAATGTCATTTTCTAATGCACAAGGACCTGATCCTTGGACGTGGCCTCTCAAGTATCTCCAAAAGGATCGGACACCTGCAGGGGAACGACGATTGCAGTTATCAGACAGGTACCATCGAGGTTTATCACCTGGTGTCAGAATTGCTCCGCAATTTTCCCCGTTATTAATTCATAGAATAATTAATCTTTTAATTTCGAGGCTCCTCGAAGGACGACACATCCTCGCTGTACCTCTTCGTCCTCGATTCGATCGTCGCTCAGGATGCTCTTCGGATTCGCCGCAGTATTTCAGGTTTTACGGCCAGTCAACGTTCACTTCGGTATCGTAAATCCGGAAAGTGCGACAATCCTAACTTCGGTCCTGAACTTGGAGGCATGCAAATGCCAAATGACCAAAATCCGAAGGAAAGATCCTTCCTTAAAAAAATCCCGTCCCACCTAATAAATCTCCAGGTCCAGAAAAATTCTTTTATCCAAATCAAAAATAAAGAGTAATCCCTACATACAGTACAAATTCAACTTTCGAACATTTTTCCTCCGCCCTTCTCCTTTTTCATTTATTTTCATCACGGTTACTAAATTCCACTCGGAAGGAAATCTCATTTGCATCCAACCGAAATATTGACATCCTTTCCCATCATCATAAAAATTATGAAAATTCATAAATCAGGATCCTGGATTTCTCGTCGCTCATATTTTCGAGTAAAAACGATGTTTCATTAACAATGCAATACATTTTCCCAAGCTACTAAAAATTGTCCATTTTATTAAAATTGATCCACGACCCTAAGATTTTTTCCCGTTACCAAAATTTTGCCACGTTACTAAAATTTCCCCGCGGCATTAGAATTTTTCCGGGGATCCCCCGGGGTTGTCGCGCAGGTGGACGCAGGTGCGGATCTCGGTATGCAAATCGCGGTGCGCGTGGAGAGGGGGGATCTCTCGGGTCTTGGCGCGAGTGCCGAGCGCGTATCAGCTCGCCGCGACGCCGGGTCCGAGCTGGTCGTCTGGGCGTGGACGCCTGGGGCAGGGGTCCGCGGATTGGCCGGGTCGGCCCCACCAGGGCGGCCTCGCCCCTACCAGGTCGTCGAGAACCAGCGGCGACTACCTACCCTGAAGAGGTTTTTTTCCCTTCCGGCCTAACGACTCCCCCACCTCGCGGCGTCCGGGCGGATAGCCGCCGCGACGTCCGTGTAGCGCCGCCGCTGGCGAGAGTCTAGTGTAGCTGCACACATGCACGCGACAGCACCTAGGCGCCCTAGGCCGCTCTCGGGGGCCTTCTGACTTCGAGTCGAGCGAGGCCGGACCATCGTCGAGGGCACCAGGTGGGATCCAGGGTGAAGGACGTGGGAGGACCCAGGAAGAAGACCCGGGTCTAGGTGCGCGGATCCTGGTCGTGGGCCAGACCTCCAAGGAAGCGGCCACGTGTGTTCCGGCACCAGGATCGTCGGTGGAAGTCGACGTGGAGGACGGAGACGTCGATGAACCCTCTAGGGATCTAGAGACCGGGATCATCCCAGGACCCTAACGAGAAACCCTGGACCGTGGTCTCTATCGAGGTGGGACATAAGTCGGGAGTTCACCGGTGGAAGTCCTGAGACCAGCGGTTCGACGAAGGAGTCGGGTCAGTGGACGTCAGGACGGTGACAGTGGACCAGAGTGCGGTCGGGGGGTCGGCCCGAGGGGTGCGCCGGCGATCAGCTGATTTTGACAGATCGATGGTGGCCACGCCGGTCGGCAGGGTTGGGACGTGGTCGCCGCGGATGGCGACTAACGTTGGTCGGATGCGACCCGGCACCGGGTGATCGGGAGGATAATAGCTGTCGCGGGTGTGACGTGCTCGCCGTGGATGAGAAGTCGCGATCGAGAGGACGCATCGGGTGGTTCGTCGCGGTGGAGGACACCGTGGGTGGAACGTCGTTGAGGGTCCTTTGGCGAGGTTTTTGAGATCGGGTGGCTCCATGCCGGGCTCCCCCAAAGGGGTCGCGTGAGCGCGGGGCCTGGGACATGACTGGCGGCTGATCCTTCGGGACCCTCTCCAGGAAGCGGCGGGATCTCGGGGGGCATCCCCGAGAGGCGTCGTCCAGAGCGGCCGCGTTGGATCTCGCGGCGGTTGGGACGTGCAGGGACGTAGCGGGTCCCAGGGTCGCGGTGGCGGGTACCGGGGTGCTCGCCCTGCCAGGCGTCATCCCCAGGGAGTCCGGCCTGGGGACCCCCCCGAGAGGCCAGGTCGGGGACGAGGTCGCAGGCCTGGCGGGTCTCGACGGCGACGCGGTGCGCCGGTGGGTCGCGGAAGCCGCGCGGACCGTCCGCCAAATTCCGCCTCCGGTGGTGGTGCCGTCCAGCTCCGGGCACCGGCACCAGGCCCAGCATCGGCAGCACCATCATCGACGGCAGCCCCAGCAGCAGCACCAGCTGCATCAGCCGCCCCAGCGGGTCCAGGAGCCGCTCCGTGCCGTCCTTGCCCAACACCTCACGGAACCCAACCCGGGTCCTGCCTTCGCCCTGCCCTCCATGACGCAGACTCCCATCATGCATCTGTCGGAGAACAACAACCTGGCAGAGGCCATGGCCCAGCAGCAGCAGCAGCAGCTCCAGCACCAGGCCCAACAGGCCCATCCCCATCAGAAGCGGAAGCAGACCAGCCCCACCAACAACAACACCATCGAGGCTTGGAGATCCATGCAGGGCCATCAGTGGTGGAGTCCCCTGGGACCCGTCCACCAGGACCAGACTCAGATGGCCCAGGCCCAAAGTCTCGTCCCCGGCAATCCTTGCCAACCCCAGAGAATTGGCCCTCAGCATTGCACCGACGTGGACCAACCCCTCGACTTCTCCGTTGGCTCTCTTCAGCAGCACAGACTCCACGCCAAGTTCAGGAACTCCCAGGACAGGATCAGGGGCAGGCTCGGGGATAACAACAACGGGACTGGGACTCTTCAGAAGATCAGGATCGGGGGAAGACCCCGGAGTTACAGCCCCAGCGAGGCCAGCACCTCCGGGAGCGACGACGAGGGAGTGTCCACTGGGGGTAGCCCTGCTGCACCCCTACGAGCTCCGGAAAACGGTGAGTCTTATCAAACGAACTCTCCTTATCTATCGGGTTGGACCCCAAGTTTCTCCATGAATTTTCTACAGATTATAAAATCTATCTTCTGCTCCCAGACGAACCGCTTTTTTATCCATCCGTCCTCAATCAGCATTTATTCCAAATTTTTGGACCTCAAAGTTTGAGAGAGGTGCTAGGAAATTTATTCCTCAGCTATTATTATTTACTTTGTATGGAATTTCTGGGGGGCCGTGAGTTATGAATTTTAAGGAGAATTTTTTGGGCTGGTTCTTGGGGTCCCATAGAGACGTCCATGCCTAATCGGACCCTGGGCAAGCGACTAGAACAAATGGTGACTGTTGCGTAAAGTGAAATCCGATAAAATCGAAACTCGAGCGAAATCGACTCGTCACTTCGGCGTTGTTGGTCGTCGTTAGAGTTCAACTGGTCCAGCAAACCCGATGAGGTCTTTCTGTCTGGCGGTTCTCTTTTAAAATCAGGGATCTCGCCTGGTGTTAATTTTCTGGGTGAAAATTTCCTTCCACCCCTTCTCATCTATCGGGAAAATTTTTATGCTGCACCAGCGCATCCTAGAAAATCTTTGACAGATTTCTCACAAATTCTGACAAATCTTGGAACAGAGCTTCACTGTCAGCTGTTGGGATCCCTATTTCACCCCAACACCCACGCACTTTTCAGGGTGCATTGTGCATCCCGGGTGCATTCTGAAAGCCTCATTGTTCGTGACCCCCAAAATGCAGCGCAGCTCCCCTTCTCGAATTTCCCTACATTTTTGCATATACGAGCTGCAATTGCAACAACCAAATTATGCACTTACATTACTTACAATGTTCCGCGATTGTTGCCAGGAGATATTTATCAATTGATATTATTTCCTACGGGTAGAATTCATTTATCGGTTGGACTAAATTCCGGGATTTTACATACTCGTTATGGCTCTCTTTTAATTAACTCTCGATTTTACTTGAAAATAAGGAATGATTATTGCAAACAACGGCCAAACGGGAGCTGATTAAGAAAGGTTAATCGATTGACCTGATCGTCGGGAAAAAATCAAAACGTGGCCTATGTGCTATTTTTTTATTATTCGCTTCATTCCAATGGACGGGAAGCTGTTGAAAATTATAGCGCGCGCTACATGTTATTATTTTTTTTTTTTTAAGTAATTAACTTGATTATTGCAAAAAGTCAAAGGACTTTCCCGGTACGATCGATCCGACGCGGAAATAATTACCATTCTTATTTGCACTGGATTTAATGCGTCATTTATATTATTAGCAACATTTGTAAGGTCAATTGCAATGATCGCCTCGCGATGTACTTTTTCATTTTTTTTAGTAATCCTGATTTTCTCGCGTTTTCTCTAGGAGGAGAATCCTGCAAATATCGGTGTAGTTGGTTCATGTGATAACCAATCAATCCTCAGAAAAAAAAAAAAGAAAGAAAAAAGCTATCGATACCGTGGAAAATCAACTCCATCTTGGCCTTGTTTCGCGTTATCTCCTCGCATGTCGGAAAAATCGCAGCCTTCGCTGAGAAATCGCGAGATAAATTAATAAATAATAATTGCAGAAATTACGGGGGCGATAATGAAGCCTGATAAGAGGACGACTCGTCCTATCGCAAATCTTCCACAGTCACAATATTGTATGAACGTCCACCGAAAAGAAAGTTGAAATAAAAAAAACCTCGATTATCAAACTAGTCATTGCCTCTCTCGAAAGAAATCTAATTTGATAACGATATCGTGCGAAGATATCGCGAGGACTGCTGTTAAAAATCCCACTTTTTGCATGGAACATCGAATGGCAAACAATTAACTCAATTCCACCTTTCAACAATGTCTCCAACAAGTCCAACGAACTGAAGAAAAAACCATAATTATTCTTCAATAATTGCCCTAACGTGTTATCAATTTCCAGGCGGGTTGGAAGTGCTCATAATCGGCTGTGAATTTTAGAAATGCCCAATTTTCTGTAAATTCTGTGAATTCTGTGATTAATAATTATTTTCGAATTGGGTTGTAGAAAAAAGGAAAATCAAATGTATAAAATCTAGGGCCCGATCTTTCATCGATATTCGAATTTCATCGGGCCCATTCGACATTAATAATTTTAGAAACTCCAATTTCGTGTGAATTCCCTGAAATGTTGTGACTAATAATTATGCTGGGTTGTAGAAAAAACGAAAATCAAATGTATAAAATCTAGGGCCCGATCTTACATCGATATTCGAATTTCATCGGGCCCATTCGACGTTAATAATTTCAGAAACTCCAATTTCGTGTGAATTCTCTAAAATGTTGTGACTAATAATTATTTTCGGTTGTAGAAAAAGGGAAAATGAAACGTATAAAATCTAGGGCCCGATCTTACATCGATATTCGATTTTCATCGGGCCCATTCGACGTTTATAATTTTAGAAGCTCCAATTTCGTGTGAATTCTCTAAAATGTTGTGACTAATAATTATTTTCGGTTGTAGAAAAAGGGAAAATGAAACGTATAAAATCTAGGGTCCGATCTTCCGTCGATATTCGATTTTCTGGTGCATCGGGCCCGATCGATGGGCCCGATCATCCCCGGGCACATTATCCGGCTTGTAACGTGATACGCCGATGATTCCATGTTATTTAGCTGGCAGGTGTACCTTGCATAATGTTTTTCGCACAATTAGATGCCACGCATACTGTATGTACCGAGCTCGGTGCGCAAGAAATCGTATGCAATGACAGCGGCTAAATGCGTCGGGGATAATTCCTTTGCAATTCTCTCGGCGCGGATAATTCGATCCGTCGAGACGTCGATTGACCACGGATCGGCATTCGCATAATTCGCTCTGCATACGTCCCGTTTCCTCGCGATAATGACTCCCCGCCATTTGCGCCGGTCGGCCGATGATTGCCAATCATCGGAATAAAATTATCGAGCGGAGATCCGCCATTTTTTCTTCCCTTTCAATCACATTTCCCTCCGCTTTCCATGGAAAATATCCCCAGTTCGTCGACTCTCGTTACTTTTCAATCTCACTACAGTTCCAAGAATCGATTGATACTGGTATTAAATGATAACGAGGCATATTCCACATGTCCATTACCCTCACTTTTCCCTCGGATTTACCGGGGGGGAAAAAAAAATCATAATTTTCCATTTTTCCTCCCTCTTTGGATTTTACGCGGACATTGTCAGGAATTAGATAAGGTATCCGATCATGGGAAATATTATCAGTCGGTCAGAAAAAATCCAGTTGGATTTCTCTTCCTGACTTTAGAAGGGAACTTTATTAATCCTACTTCGTGGATTTTCATTTCCTGTTAATAATTTCAACTCTTAATAATTACGCCTCGAGATTTGATAGAAGGGTCGGATAGATGTTTCTTATTTTTTATTTATTAATTTTTTTCTTTTAAGGATCGCTTTTTTCCCCTGGCGGAAATCCATGATCCTTGGCTCGAAAGTCAGGACACGATGAGGCGTCGAGGTCGAAGGTTTCGCAAAATGGAGTCGATCCTTTCGAGGACTATCCTTGCTAGGACTAACCTCGACACGTCAGGCTCTCGTCAAAGACAAGTCGAGGTATCCCACGAGTGGACGGATCGTCGTTTATCCCGAAAATTACAAGCCACGGGTCTCGGGAGAGAGAAAAAAAAAATAAGAAAGGATAAAGAAAAGAAAAGGACGAGGACCCCTCGGCCCTGCCGTGTGCGGAACGGGTTAACGCCTTGCCACTTTATCGAGACGTCTCATCAATGATCGGCCTCCATCGCGTTAATGACGCGCCCTCGAGAATCGAGAGCCGCATATATATCCCTTCGATCCCCTTATCGCGGTTATCGAGTAGGAATCGAAAGCAGGGATTTCATCGACAATTTCTCACGCCCTCGAGAAATTCCCTTCCGCTCGCGTTTCCTTTCCGCTCCTCGCCGTTAGCGGAAATAATCAGGAATGCCGAATCTAGGCGGAACGCGTTTTTGCGATTTCTTCATTTCACGGATTTCGATTCTAGCCGTCGACTTGATCGGCCCGTCTCGAATAGATCCAATATCTAAGTCCGGATGACACCCTCCGATGTCGACTCGTCTCGGGAAATATTAATATAATTTTATAATTGAAAAATAAATACCGCCATTTTTATATCGTCCAATGATGAGCCCTCCATAAATCGCGTGTACTAAACATTAGCGCGATCGAGATTTCAATCCGGCCAGTGGTGCGACCAATCGATTGTCGATCCGATCGGGTGGTTCGATGGTGGAGTGAAATCGCCAGAGGGAGAAAAAGGAGGGCCCTTTCGATTGCGTTCGTTTACGTCAATAACTTCGGCCCTCGAGAGCGCCAACAAAAGAGACTTCTCTCGTTCGGTTTCTCGAAAACTGACGGATCGACTCGGCCTATCTCGCCGATCGGGCTCGATACGTCACTCGAAAAACCAAGGCTTGGCTGGCCGATAAGAGATACGTCCAAGAGCAGCCGGAAACGGGGCCCGACTCCACCTGCGCCATAGGGCCCAAACGCCCCGAAGACGATCTTATCGCTCTTATTCGAGCTTACCGAAGAGATATCGATCCTAAAAAACGCGACTGATCAGAAGAGAGGGTCACTAGAATCCTCTCGGAAAATGGGAAAATTTCACAAGTGGGCCTTACGGGCCCAAAAGCCTGGAGGAGGATTTTACCGAGGGGTTTTCGATCCTCGGAGACGCGACTTCGGACTTTGGTAGAATCCTTCCGGAAAATGGGAAAATTTCACAAGTGGGCCTTACGGGCCCAAAAGCCTGGAGAAGGATTTTACCGAGGGGTTTTCGATCCTCGGAGGCGCGACTTCGGACTTTGGTGGAACCCTTCCGGAAAATTGGAAAATTTCACAAGTGGGCCTTACGGGCCCAAAAGCCTGGAGAAGGATTTTACCGAGGGGTTTTCGATCCTCGGAGACGCGACTTCGGACTTTGGTAGAACCCTTCCGGAAAATGAGAACGTTTCGCAGGTGGCGAGGATGGCAA